GGATGTAAATTGATTAGGGCTGGGTCTCAGGGAGTCGCCATGGCGGAGCAAATAGCACTGGCTGAGTCTCCGCGGCCCCTTGCCTCTCCACTGGGGCTTTGTGTCCCCCAGTGCTGGCGAGCAGCTGTGGGACAGAGCCTCCCTCGCTTTCTGATGGCTGCAAGGCCGTGCTGCCTCTCCCCATAGGGTCTGGTGCCTCATGATCCCGCCCGAACCAGCTCAGTGGATTTGAAAGTTTGCAAAAGCAAAGGCGTTTCTACTTGTGAGTCTGGCACAGCCCAGATGGGAATGTAAATTGCATAGGGCGGGGTCACAGGGAGTCGCCGGGGTGGCGTCTCCGTGCCCCTCGCCTCCCCGGGACACCAGGACTTCTTGTCCCTCAGTGCCGGCGAGCAGCTGCGCGTCAGAGCTTCCCTCGCTCTCCGACCACTGCAAGGCCGTGGCCGCCTCTCCCCGTGGGATCTGGGGCCTCAGAGACCCACCCCAAGCAAGCCCAGAGGATTTGAGGGTTCATAACCGCTTCCGATTGAAAAAAAAACCGCAAATCCATTTGCAGCCCGCCTGGCGTGTGACTGCATACCTCTGGTTTTGGTGCCTCCGTAGCTCCTACTCAGTCTCACTGCGCTTCTTTCTTTTCTTCCAGTTGTAGATCTCCCACTGGGCCAACTTCCCCATGGTTCTGAGTGGTGGTTGTTTGCCTCATAGTTGGTAGTTTCAATGATGCTGTGAGAGAGCAGCACGCACAGGTCCACTCCCTACGCCGCCATCTTGGTTCTCCTCATAATTTTCTTAACCACTCCTTTACTAATGGGCATTTAAGTTTTATAGTTTTAGCTACCTCACCAGTAAGGGATTTCTGCTTCAGCTGACATAAAGTTTTAATAAGAAGCATCACTGGGGAACATCCTAAAGAGTAAATTGAAATTAAAATAACAAAAAGAAAAACTAAAGCCACGGCATTGGCAAGGTACCACTTTGAGTGCCAGGTAAAGTTCTGAATGGTTTTCCCAGAAAATGGTACCTCTGTCCTCACTCTCTATTCCTACCTACTGCTGTTGAATGATAAGAGGAGGGGTATAATGGTATACGTCATCATCAACCTTAAGTTCTGGAACCCTGCTGTTCCCCCAGAGCAGACCCTAACACTCTAAATCCAAACAGATTAAACTGAACTGCGCTTCCGGGCACCCAGCTGACCTCTGGTGTGCAAACGTGGTTTGTGTATGAAACGATAGGCCAGGAGGGCAGACCTGGGCAGACTTCCAGAACAGTGGCGGCGGGAGAGTCATCAAAATGGCACCACTTCCAGAGTTCTGAACGCTGGGGTTCTCTTGGGAGGGAAAACTTGGGAGCTGCCACCTCAAACACAAAAGGATGTTGGGGCTTTGACTTCTTGGATGTGTCTGAGGGTCTTTCTCCTGAGGGCTTAGGTGGTTTATATACTTTACAGTGGAGTCACATGATATACACATTTACCTTGCAATAATTCTATCATGTGTCCTCAGGAAAAAGAGGAAGAGAATTCAAATAATGCAGGGAATGCCCCACTAGTCTACCTGATGAGCACACACCCAGAAATGCCAGATGGCACGGTTGTGCCTGAAACCAGCAATGCGTGCCAGCTGAAAACTTAGGAAAGACTGTGAGTAAAACTGTTGTTCCTGGTGGCAGGTATAGAAGTGGTGATAGGAGAAAGTGAGTAATTCATATGAGTAATTAGTGAAGAATTAAAGAATCTGGTAAAATTATCTTCAATGTTGATCACAACAAACCATGTACAGGAACTGTACTTGGTTTTGTACTTGAAGGATTTTCAAGGTTACTGTTGAGTACATATGAATTGCACCCTTAATGTGGTTGGACTTAAACCATGTTAGATATCATCCCACTATTTCTCATCTGAACTTCCCCGAGGCTCACAGAGTTAAAGTAACATGCCAAAATTCATAACCCAATAAGTGTCAGGGCCAGAATTCAAATCTGTGCTGCCAGCAAGGCCTAAAGATGTAGTATCTGCTCTTTATTGCTTCTTCATTTATAATGCTACTAGAGGCCCAGTCTACGAATTCGTGCACCAGTGGAGTCCCTTGGCCTGGCCTATGGGGTTGGGCGGAAACCCGCTCTCCGACATCCCCTGAGGAGTCCTGGATTGGGAGAGGGTGCACTGGTGCATTGGAGGCTGAGGGACCCCACTGGTGCATAATTGGGGCCAGGGAGGGACCGCAGGAGGGCTCCAGGGCGTGTCCAGCCCATCTCGCTCAGTCCCAATCTGCCAGACCCCAGCAGCAAGCTCACCTACCGGTCAAAGCGTCTTCCCCCTGGTGGTCAGTGCACATCATAGCAAGCAGTTGAGCAGCCTTAGCATATCATTAGTATATTATGCTTTGATTGGTTGAACAGCCCACTGGTCAACCGGGCACTTAGCATTTAGGCTTTTATTATATAGGATTGCCTATATAACTGGGAGAATGAAAATGGCTCTGGAGTGACTAACCAACGGAGCTTACTCAGGACTAAAGAGTTTCCCTGGACTTTCACTTTTAAAATTAGGACTGTTCCAAGTAAATTGTGGCTGGTTACCCTATTTGGGATTTGAAAGGCTCTGAAGTGACCACCCTATTTCATTGATCTCTCTATTTGGAATGCTTCTTCTGATATTCTGTGACTGGACCTTATTTTGAGTGATAGGCTCAAGAATAATGCCTTGAAAGTTAAAGTGGGGCCTTTTGATAAGGTAAGACTATTAGACCTAAGAGAAGTCCATTGGCAATGGACTTTGAGCTTTCTCTGTGAGAATTGGAATCTTGTACTATATTAAAATTAATACTTTGATAATACAAGTAATCACTGGCTGGTGTTTTCATGATCTGTTAGAGGTTGCATAGGGTAACAAGGTGAACAAAGCCAGAGATAGTGTGTTGTGTTGCAATACTTTTCCCCATGAAAGGGGAAACTTAAGCAGATAAGGAATGTGATGGGTAGGAAGTTATCCAAAGAAGTTATACAAATGGCCAATAAGCACATTGGGGAAATGCAAAGCAAAAGCACAATGAGATACCACTTCACACCCACTAGGAAAGCTATAATTAAAAAGTTGTACAATAACAAGTGTTGGCAAGGATGTGGAGAAATTGGAACCTTCATATGTTGCTGGTGGGAATGTAAAACAAGGCAGCCACTTCAGAAAACAGTCTGGCAACTCCTCAAATTGTTAAATATAGAGTTAGCATATGAACCAGCATATCTATTTCTAGTATACTATAGGCTCGGTGCACAAAATTTGTGTATGGTAGGGTCCCTAGGCCTGGCTGGTGACCAGGGCCAATCTGTGGGTTGACCGGTGGGGTAATCGGGGGCGACCCCGCTGGCACCCACCTTGGCCAGCTTGGGGCCTGCAGGCTGGGAGCAGCTTCTGCATTAAGCATCTGCCCCTGGTGGTCAGTGCATGTCATAGCGACTGGTCGTTCTGCCATTCAGTCAATTTGCATATTAGGCTCTTAATATATAGGATACCCAAGAGAAATGGATACATATGTCTACACAAAAACTCACACATAAATGTTCGTAGCAACACTATTTGCAACAGCCAAAATGTGGAAGCAGCCCAAATGTCCACCAAAAATGAATAGAGAAAATGTGGTATTTCCATACAATAGAATATTATTGGCCATAGAAAAAAATAAAGTACTGATGTGTGCAATAACATGGATGAACCTTGAAATATGCTAACTGAAAGAAGCCAGACACAAAAGGCCACATATTGTGTGAGTCCATTCATATGAAATATTCAGAATAGGCAAATTGATAGAGACAGAAAGTAGATTAGTGGTTGCCAGGGGCTGGAGGATGGGAAATTGTGGGGTGATGGCCAAAAGAGGTAATGAAAATATTCTAAATTTTATTTGGGGGAAGGATGTACAGCACAACTCAGTGAATATACTAAAACCCACCAAACAGTACACTTTGAATGGGTGAATTTTATGGTATGTGAATTATATTTCAATAAAGCCTCTTATTGGGAAAAAAGAAAAGAAAGAAGAAGAGAAAGAGGAGATTGTTCTAAGCCTTACTTCTGTCTCATGGCACAGCCAAAGCCACACTGCAAACCTCCTGACTCCACGAGGTTACATCAGACTCAAGCTCAGCAAGTCTCCATTTGTCAGCCCCTCCCTCTGCATCAGCTAGGGAGGATACAAGGATTTGACATTTGCTTTTCTGTGTGTGGAGTAAAAGTTAGTGACAGGATCACCCATCCTCCTATCACAGGCAATGGCAAGGCTAAAAAGGACTTGTGTTGCTGAGCATTTACCATTTTTCAAAAATTTGGTTAGATCTTTAGGAATTTATTTAAAGAACTCTATCCCATTCAATAATAATAAGAGTTTATTTATAATTTTAAAATAATGTTTAGTCTATTCCTTTGCCCTAGAAGCTAGCAAGGAAAGAAGTCTGGTCAATAAAACACTCTGATGTCTGCTTTTTTAATATAGGATTCAAGCTCCTTTCTTTGGACTCAAGTGATATGACATTTCTGATTATTCAACCTGGGCAGGGCTCAAGATATAACTGCAGAAACATTATCTCAATAAAGGGTTTGCTAAGCAACTTGACATTATGAATACATTTTCATGGACTCATTAACCCGACTTAAGAAAACAAGCTGTTTTAAAGTTCACCAGATGAACATGCATGAGCAAAACTAGTCAATACAACTGCTCCTTCCCTAGCAAGGTCTTGACTGGCAACATAGTTCAGGAGTTGGGAGTTAGTTCTTGGAAGAATTTTTTTAAATTATAAAACAATTTATCTTAAAGCATTATAATAAAAGTTGACATTATCTCTAAAACCATTTAAGCTCCTCTTTTCACTTATGCAGAATGACTTTTCTACTAAAAACCCCAAATTAATGAACATTATTCTGTTCAGAAAGTTTGTTGTTGTTTTTTAAATATATCGCATGCACAGGCACAGGAGGGGTTATATGCATAGTTGTTATAAGCATGGGCTGTGGAACCAGCCTCTCTGGTCTGAATCCCGGCTTTGCCATTTACTTAGGTACTTAGCCTGTTTGTGCCTCATTTCCTCTTCTATGTAATGAGCACGCAGTATTAGCTGCTTTATAGGTGGCGGTGAAGGTTATGTAAGTTGATATATGTAAGGCACTTAGAATAATATCAAGTGCTATGTGCATTATCTTTATTGTCCTGACTTAGCCAACTAGGCATTGGGCCTAAAACAACCAATTACTCTTAACTCACCCTCACTTTGTTGCACTACCTTGGGAATTTATATTTGTAAAAGAACCCGATCATTAGGCCATGGATGGGTTAAGCTAATGCTTTCTCAGCCAAATTCTAATATGAAAAAAGGTGTCTATGGCCAAGTGGATTAAGGAATGGAATGGATAATCAGGACTAAACTTGAGAATAGATTTTTAGGCAGGGAAAAGTTTACAGAATTTCCAGAGGTGATTTTTTCCCCCCAAACTTACTTGAAAAGAGCACTGTGTATTAGTTCGAGAAACCCTCATACCGCCATCATTTTTTAGAAAGTTTGTAACTTGTGTGTGAATCTACTACCTAAGTCAACGTTGGCAGGCTATGCTTCCTATTAGAATAGCTTTTTAAGGTTTTACATACTATATACTTTTACAACTCCTATTAGACACAGTGCTTTTGTATGATGCAAGTTCATACATGTTCAACATATTAGCATTTTATTTTAGATCTGCTGAGAAAACATTCTCAAGTTGGCTGACTCATTTGGAAGTAAATATTTCACATACCAACGTGAGCAGAGAAGTGAGTAATGAGTATGGACAGAAAGCATTTGATAATTGATTTAGGTAGGAATCCCAGGGTCTCATTTTGTTTAAAGCCCTCTTTGCACTTCACAATGCAGTAATATTTCAGGATGGAAGGAATATTGTCAATATCACAACTCCCACCAGTGCTCTTACTTCTCTGTTTGTTCTGTAAGGTTTGCTCAGACTGAATATGGGGTGGGCCAGTTGTTTATGCTGCCAGTTTGAAATACTACCATTTAAAAATATGGAAGTATCTTCGGTTCATAATTTAGAATAGGTAAGTGTGATACATTCCTCTTAAAAAGAAAAAAATTCAATGTTTTAATCCTCACCTTTGAAAAAACTGTTATTCTTCTGGAAGGACCATGCCCATAACATTGGAAAGCATGCAGGTGTGGAGATAGAACTGAATTAACACCTTGTGCAAGAGGCAAAGAGGAGTAACTTGTGTCTGATTTCATGGATCTGACATCTGAGAACTGATACATTGCTAATCATTTCTAAAATGGTCTAAGGGGCGTAGAAGGGGCCCATTAGAATTGTAATATGTTACCATTAGAACTGTAATGTGTGACCATTTCAGGCCACTCTGGAATGATAGGTAGAATGAAAATGGAAGCACAAACCCAGATTGGAATCCCAGCTAAAGCTGGTCGGTGTGTTTTCACTATAGAAATAGGCAACTACTACAAATCAAGGCTTGCTTTATTTTTCTGTTGATTGTCCAGAGCAGGAAGTCAGGAGCCTTTTTCTGTCAAGTGCCAGAAACTAAATATTTCAGGCTTTGTGGGACATGCAGTCTCTTTTCCCACTATGCCGGACCCTGCTATGGCGCACAAGCAGCCCTGGACCATACGTGAAGTCAGGACCCCGACTGGGTCCACCACAACTTCATTTATGCATAAGTTAGCTTTCATATAATTTCCACGTGTCATGAAATATTCCTCTTGAATATTTTCAGCCATTTAAAAATGTTAAAACTATTCTTAGCTTGGCCATATTTTTTTTTACTGATCTCTGGTCTAGACTTAAAATAGTAAATGAAGATTAAACTTAAAATGAGTCATGTTTGTAGGTGTGACATTGTGAATAGTACAAAAATAAAAAGAAAGGAGATACATTTCTGCTCCTCAAAAGCTGTTATTCAGCAAAGAAGCTGCTCTGTCATTGATGAACAAGTGAAGTTCAGCATAGTAGCGCTGGCTTATATGTCTAATTTGAATAATTTCACAGTGGATCACATATCAGAGCTAATGACAATAAATTTATTGGGAAAAGCACAGATTAGGATGCAATCCCATTTGACAAATCAGGCTTGAATTATTGAAAGATTGGCTACGAATTCAAGAATTTGGCAAAAATTAAGAACACATTCTGCGAGAATCAATCATCTCCATGGAATTTACTGTAGAGTATGGATAGTTGCTATTACTTGTGAATTGTGACCTCCTGCTTGAAGGCATAGGTCTCAGTTTACCCCCACTCATTTCCAAGGCTGCATAGGATACGGTAAGAAGCTAAAGGTAACAATAATTGGTGGAAACTCTGGAGCACTAGTGAGGGAAGTTCTGAAGTTCTAGTGGTGCTGAAATATGTGAGCAGAGAAGTCCCGGGACGTTCAGTCCTTCAACAAGCACCAGCCCTCGGAGAGATGAACTATTGCCCAAACTCCCCCACGCACCTTCAAATGGAATTTGATGAGTTCCATAGCCAAAGGCTTATTTCCCAAGCAGCCCCAGCCCAGAGCCTACGGCAAAAGCCTGAACCCAGCCAAATCCGCTGGTGCAGTGCCACAGAACTGGCAGTGACATGGGGCAGGCAGCTTCCCAAGGTGCTGTTGTGTTTTGTGGGGCTGATGTGAAAGGACATCTTGCTGACAAACCAGAGTTTCTGACCAGAGGAGCCTTCACTGTGATGGAAAAGTCTACTTGGATTTGTTTGAGAGGCACGCTGGTAGGACTTTGGATCCCAGCAGCTCTCCTGGCCCAGCACCAGGCGTCCTTTGCTCCCTGCTGCAGGGAACCCACCGTCTCTGACACGGCTTTTCCAGGCCTCTGCTTCTGTGGTGTCTGTGCTTCTCCCCTTTACCTCAAAGCTCTGCTTACTCATGGATTTCATTGCCTCATGACATCTGATAAATGGCTTTTCTGGATTGGTCATGTTTTAGCTTCTGCTGCCAATACTGAGTTCCTCTCTGTCTCACATTTAAATTTCTGCCTTCTCCAAATTGGGAGCCATTGCCTGGTCCTCTTCATAGCAACCTGTCCCGGGCTGGTGAAAACTTTAGTTCTGAGTGTACAGACACATCAAATCTAAAGCTTCCATGTCGTCCTTTCCATTGCACTCAGGGTGAGTGTGGACAAAGCTAAGGGTGGGCCTTACCCTCTCTCATCACTCACAGCCCAGCTAATTCCAACTCATATCATTTTCATATAAAAATGGACACATGCTTTTTAATCAGTCCTTTTTCCTCTTTTGTCTCTCTCTACCTCTTCTTTTCCTTTTAGATTCAAAATAAAATAAAATATGATCCTTACTAAGACTGTGATAGCACGGAATATTGCTGGTGATGCATTTTATTAAATTTTTTATTTTGAAATAAATTTAGAGTTACAGAAAAAATTGCAGAAGTAGTACAGATAGTTCGTGTATACTCCTCCTCCAGCTTCCCATAATGTTACTATCTTATATAATTTTGGTGCAACTATCAAAACTAAATTAATCAAATATAATCGTCCTTAGCATTCTTCTAAAACAAGAATGATATAAAGGGGGATAGGGCAGGAATTTCATTTGTAATTCCATAGGAGTTACTTTACTGCATGTATGAGATTCAAGAATAAAGATACCATTTGCTAAAGAATAAACTTAACCATTATATCAATTCTCCCCAAATTAGTATGTAATTTCTTTATTAATAATTTAGTAGTGGCCCTATACAATTTTAGGAAGCAGGGTAGGGAGCTTAATAAAATAATTCAGTAATTAGTCTAGAAAAGCAAATGGGCAAAAAAGTTCCAAGTTTTCTGTAACTGAGTCGCTTTTCATAGGGACTTATAGTCATAAGGATTTATTACTATTAACAATTGCTGGGGGGAGACCCCTGCCAGCTAAGGTTATGCATCTTGGAGGAAGCACCACAAACTGATAGAAAAGTGGATAAATTATTCGATAAGTAATGTTAGAAAAAATAGTACTGTGGGACAATATTTCCCCATCCTGGTCCTCTACCATTCAAGCGAGACCATTCTGGGCTCAGGATACAAAGTAGAAAATGTAACTAGAGACTTCTGGATTTAAAGCCGAAAGCCCTTATAGAAAAAGAAAGAGCTCTGACAAAGCATCCGGGAGCAAAAATACCAAGGCCTCATTAAAAACCCTCAGCCAGAATCAGGGCGAAGTGATCTCAGAAAGGAATTTCAAGAGTGGGATTCAGGAATGTGTGTTTTCACGAGCACCCCGGGGGATTTGTGCCTGGTGAAGTGGGAGAACCATTGGGCTAGAACAGGTTCCCCACCGGCTGCAAAGTAGAATCACACCCAGAGACCAATAGATTGAGAGGGAGGGAGGGAAACCCAGGCAGCTGCATTTTTTTTTTCAAACTGCCAATGTGATTTTAATGATTAGTCCGAGTTGGGAACTCCTGATAAAGTCTTATTTCCTTCCCCATTAACCCTGTAAGACATTATTTTCACAATGTGGGTGATTTTTAAAGACTATCTAGGGTTGGTTGTCTCTGCAAACATCTAGTTTCCTTATTTTCTAAATTTCCTATAAAAAAATTGAAAGGTGTGGGTGAGTTGGAAGACCTGTATCTACGGCAGTGATCTGCAGAACTTGGTCCCTGGAACAGCAGCCTCAGCATCACTTGGGAATTTGTTAGAAATGCAAATTCTGTCCTATTCTAGACCTCCTGCAGGAGGAATTCTGGGTGTGGAGGAGGGGTAGCAATCTACACATTCAACAGGCCATCTTGATGATTCTTCACTTTTGAGAGGCAATGAGTCTCTTGAAGAGAAACTTTCAGAACTACCTGATACCTGGGACCCACCCCCCAGATTTTGATTTAATTAGCCAGGTGTGTGATTCTTTTAAAGTTTCAGTAGAACTTCCCCCTGTCCAGAGCAGAATTGTCTTTCTAAACAAAAAGTGAGGAAAAGAGCCCTGGCCGGTGTGCTTGGTTGGTTGGGCATTGTCCCATGCACCAATAGTCAAGGGTTTGATCCCCAGTCAGGGCACATGCCCAGGCTGTGGGCTCAATCTGGGTAAAGGACATGTAGGAGGCAGCTGATCGATGTTTACATTGAAGTTTTTCTCTCTCCCTTCCTCTCTCTCTAAAAATCAATTTAAAAAATGTTTTTAAGTGAAGAAAAGAAAAACAGGTGTGTGTGTGTTTGGGGGTGAGGTAAATGGAGAATAGACAATGTTTTAAAAATAGTTGGATTTCAAGGTTCAGATATGTTTGTTTTGGTAGTGCATGTAACTTTGGCCAATATTATGATTTTTATTGCCCAATTTATCTTTAGGAGACCAAGATAACCCCTATGATTGTAGTTGTATTTTTGTATTTAATGATTAAAAATATTATATGAAGATTAGAAAATGAGTTTGACTAACATTTTAAATGAGTATGCATTTGATTCATTACTGCTTCAACTAAATACATTTTAAAAATAGTAATATATATGTAGAGCTATTACATGAGAGAGAAACATCGATCAGCTGCCTCCTGCACACCCCCTACTGGGGATGTGCCCGCAACCCAGGTACATGCCCTTGACCGGAATCGAACCTGGGACCCTTGAGTCCGCAGGCTGACGCTCTATCCACTGAGCCAAACCAGTTTCGGCAAGTTTGACTTACATTTTAAATGAGTATTCATTTGATTCATTACTGCTTCAACTAAATACATTTTAAAAATAGTAATATATATGTAGAGCTATTACTTTTTTAGAAAATGTTTAGTACCCATAAAAACAGTCTAACAATACTTTC